TAGCTGTAACGTAAATATAATAAATCGTGTATTGGTTTTAACAAGTAACTTTCTGCTTTATTTTTTTAAAAAATACTTTTCGAATAAGACATTCAGTTAAGAATAAAAATTGTATTAACATTTTCATGGAGAGAATTAAGTTTTTAATTTGCTTGTAAGATGACTACTTGTAAGACAACTGACTTTTACTTTTCCTTCGAAATATTATAATTGTTTTAATACTAATTTTATGTAATTCTGTATTACGTGAATAAGTCAACGAGAAGGAAATATCCAAATATAACAAATAACTAAATATTTCTAAGCTCAGACCATTCTACATTGAACGCGAACGCCATCTTTGGCTGGGCACCCCCAAATGGACGTTCCTCGTCCCAGTCTTTACGTTGTGGCGCCCACTGCGCGTGTTTCTGGCAGCGAAGAGAAGGTGCGTGCGCGCCAGGCGGTCGCCGCCGTGCAGCACTTACCGTCCACCATGGGTGCGTCGTCCGCTACAATGATCTCCAACCTCTGACCTCTGACCTCTCTGTCGCGACCGCAGCCTGTCAGCAGGAGCGCGGGCCTGGGGCACAGGATCAGGTAAGCGCGTGCGGGAGACACGCGGAGCGAACAAAACAAAAACACTCAACGCAAATAGAGGAAATTAAAAAGGAGTTTGTGAAAGGACTGTGCTAGTGGGGGGTACATGCTAATGATGTCGATGCTTGAAACGCTAATTCTAGTTTGTGTCGAAACTGATTTAATATAATGTTGTCTAGGCTATCCGGGACGAGACGCGTTACTGACATGGTGGCTAACGTTTCGGCCAGCGTATTGTGGCCTTCTTCAGAGCGTACTGTAGTACCCGTCCCGGATAGTCTAGACAACACAAACTCCGGTCGCGGAAGCCTACGCAACCATGATTTAATATAAGTTTTGTAATCTCTTCTGCACCGAGGCCTACCCGTTATACAATGTAATTTAATTAGGTATACTTTCAGGTTGACCTATTTTGTGCATGATAACGACAATTGATCACTCAGTAAAAAAATATTGAGATTTTTTAAAATTTATGTAGCTTCTGGGAGTACATCACGACGAAAAGGAAGAAAATATTAAGATGTAATTTTATTTCAGAATATCCCACTTTCTTATAACTGCCTATCAAATTATTACGTATTCATAAATCAAAATGTCCCGAAAAAATAACTCCAAACCGTAATTTTTTCTTAAAGAATAATTGCGAAGATTTGTTTTAGGAGGAACAACCATGATCACTAACATTCCATTCATGTTGAGGTTAAGGTAAGTAATTGCCTCTAGATTGGAAAACCAATATTTACTGTTCGCTTTCTCTCAAAATAGCTACATATGCACCAGACATTTTTCATTTTTTGTACATAACTACTCTTTATACTGTAAATATACAACAAGAACTTTTATTCCACCAACATTTTTAATGGCGAATTATAGGGAATCACGTAAGTACATTCTGATAGCGTGTGCCAAGCTCTTCTTCGCTGATGTTGTGGCACAATTATATGAAGTCTGAGAATAACGGCACAAAAAGGGCAAAGGAATTCTCATGCAGCGGGTAAAAGGCACCACATGATCTGCCTGTCCCTTGAAGAAACAGGTCGAATGTACATATATTTGCAATCCTGTCAAGCTACCACTTTGTATTAATTACGAATGGACATGTGATTTTTTAATATTATCGTCTTACTATATTTATTTAAGGCAAGGATTAGAAAGTTATGATAGATCAATTTTCTACACCTTTTTAAAGGAACGAGATATTATTTTCATAAATAGTTAAGTATGTCTAAAATCGTGTAAAAATGTTGCCCTATTACTACTGTTGAAAATCTAGATGAAGTTTCAGACGTCATTTCAGAATGACACATTGAATCATTAGCAAATGCATTTGGTTACTGATTTTGGAATTCGATGGCTTTACTTGTCAATGAGAGTCGCGCTTTCTAGCCATCGCCACTCCCCAATTTGCCCGGGATAACTTGTTTGTCGCCGATGTTTTCGTAAATTTGCGAGCGAGTACATCGAAGTTAAAAAACAATTTACCGTTACAGCAGTTTAAAAAATGGTTTATTCTTTATCTTCGTTTACAATATTAGTTGGGAGGAGGTGCTATTAACTTGTAAGCTACCTTAACTATACATACAAGATAAGTACTATATACATATTTCTGCCAACGATCACTTCGCTTTCACTTGATGGCGAATAAGTATCAAAACAGCGAAGACGCATGTTTAGCAATGTTAATTGCAAACTTTTGGTACGTTAAAAGTAGAGTTTTTATTGAGTTTCTAGTGAAGTAAATCATTTCTCACTTTGCCCCGTAGCATTAGCTCTTCCTGTTTTGAAATGTCACTTTCTTCAGTGCTTCGACTACGTAGCTCATATAAAATGAGAACTAATATTTTTTACTTATTAATAGTTCGTTCAAAGAGGTGAGGGAACGATTTTTAAGCCACAAGACTTAATCTTGCGTGAAATTTTCGACGTCATTTCCTACGGGCACATATTTTACGAAAGTCTGGATTCTGACAGTAATATGGAACGAGATATTCCGAGTAATTTAATTCGTTCAAGAGCTACAACCGGCGTTCAAGCTCAGAGGCGTTTAGTCCGTCGCCGGTGAAGTAGTTTCGGAGGCGGAACAAGTGGAAGGACAAGGAAACGGAAGAGCGCGAAAAACAATAAAACAAAATACCAGTTGCGAGAGGAAGTTGCAACTGTAAGAGGAGGGCCGTACTCACGTTTGAAAGCGAAGAAAGCAGAAGCTGAAAGTTAAACGCAGAGAGACCAAGAGGAAAAAAGTCAATAGTACTTACGTTAGAAGTTCAAGAACAAGAGCTCTTACAGTATCTCAGGACTAAATAATGAGGGAGCGTGAAAAGGGGAGGGTGTCAAGGATCCTTCAAGCTGAGATAATAGGAAACAACGTATCAAACAAGAAGTGGAGAAAAAAGCAGAGAAGAGTAAAAAAGAGAAGCTATACGAATACTCACATAGTTGAAGCACAGCTTCCAAAATAATCTGTATTAAAGTTGAATCTCTAAATGAATTAACTGGATTTATAGAGACAGAGAAGTAAAGGAAAACATCATGCGTTCAAACGTGATTCACAAAAGAACAAATGAGCTGGTGGTACAATAATAGTGCAAGATTTACAAAGAGTAATATTTTCGTACACATCGTCTTTTTTGTTAAGCCTTATTAATTTGCCGCATGAAAACCCTATTATAGGGATACATGCCATTTCCTGTCTTTTGGAGTATTGGTCACAGAAAAATGTCACATAAAATAGGAATAAAATGTGATTTTTATAATTACATTCTGTGACATAAACAAAGATTTTTTTGATAACCGGTTGTGTCAATGCAGCACTTAAGAGGTTAAGCTGAGGTTCTCAAAGAGTTTTCGCAAAATTACGCGTGTATCCAGGACAACAATGTAGGAAAAATGTGAACATTAAAAAAAAGTCATTCTAAATTTGACATTTCTGTACCAATATTTATTGACTTTGAGACTCAAAAACTAGACAATTCCAAGAAAACTGATCAATTGAAATGGTATTAGGAAGAAATGTTATATGTTATTTGGAAATATGAGCTTATTTATTTCAGCAACATAGTCCAATAAGGGCAGGTATTGTCGAGATTGTTTTCCAGCGTTTGAATTCCAATTTGGACAGGCTTATTTCGTAGCAATGTTCCCAATGAAGGGAGCGAAAGCAGCGAGTCAAAGTTTGAGCAATGCTGACTTAAAGGCTTACGATTTGCACGAAAAGCACTCCGCCCCAAACAGGTGCTCTTAAGCAAAAAAAAGAAAACGTCAAAAAATCTGGGACTTACGAGGGCAATCGCGCGCTAGCCACTGGTAGAGCAGCCAGCTCTCCAGCTCGAGCAGCGTGGTGCGGCTGTACGCCACAAGGCCCGAGTTGGCCGCCAGGGCGCCGTTCGCGTCACCGCCG